ACATTTTGTCTTAGGTTTTAGGAGAACTTTGATGAAAGGTTTTGATCCACTTCAAATGTTGACTAGTGTGTGTGTGTGTGTGTGTGTGTGTGTGTGTGTGAATGATATAGTCACATAAAATATATATTATATTATATTATATTATATTATAAATCTCTACAATTAAGAAATGCAAAATATAATTATGGTATTCAAAACATGGGTACAGAGCGTTGTAAAACAGTGAACAGCGTTCAGAAGAAATACATTTTGACTGGAATTCTAATGTGCATTCATTATTAATTTATCCCCCTTCTTTAATAGTGAAGAAAGCAAACAAGCAGTTTCACATTCACATGTAGGTTTTAAACAGAAGCTTTCTTGTTTAAAGTGCAAAAGTAACAATTATCTGTCCAATGCATCCAGATCTTATAGGTGAATTATGACGCAGATACTGTCCTTTCATTCGACCGATAAACAGTAAGGTTTCTGGACTATATTTATATGGAAGGCAAGGAAACCAAAAGTGGCACATAATAAAAACAACAGCCCTCATATCCGACTGAAACAAGTATCTACAGTACGACTCAGACTATTGTCACGACAAAACCCACTAAAAATAGTCTTAAGTACACTGACAGGATGTTTCCAGCATTGTCAAGCTTGTGCAAATATGTGCTCTTGACAGTAAAGATTTGACCCGTGGCGTTTCTAAGAAGCTATTGTTGAAGTGTGCAAACTTATAACCTTCAAAAATGAACAGGTCATAACCAGAGCTTTGAAATTCATGTAAACTCTAAATCTTATAAAACGGGGTTGTCTCTGATAATGGCTTCATAGAAATATTAGCAGTGGACTGAAATAGACCATTCTGAGAATTCAGATTGATATTACAGTTTAATAAAACTGAATTCCTAGAATAAAGTCACCTATTCTAATAAAATGACAGCGAACACACAACCCGAGGCCTTGGTACGCTCAGACTAACATGTGATGGAGCACTAGCTGTGATATTTGTAGCTCAGATAACAGTTACAATGCTGTTCTGCTATTAAAGAAGTGTTGACCGCATCTGGTACATTGTAAAGATGCTTTCTAAAGTGTGAAATAGCTTGAATTTCGTACTCTTTATCATCAAAGCAACTGTCTGGGAGCCAAAATTGTCCAAAGGTCACAACCACCAACCTGTTTAAGTGATATAATATCCTCAAGCAGCTGCCCTCACACTTGACTGGAAGTTAAACCTAATTTGTTCTCATGCAGAGATTTTTAAGGATTTGTCTCTTGCTCGCAGACATTTGTGGGTCAGACATGCAAATGAAGTTCTTGGAATGGAGAAAATCTGTTATAAATCTCTTTAACCCTATCAAATTTACTGTATCATGTGTTTGATAGGCCTTTGCTGAAAAACATGTTGCTACATCTGTTACACTGATAGTTTAGACTTTTTAGCAAGTAAAAGGTCTTATGTATAATTGTACTAAAAAGTTCATATAACTTTGATATTAATATTAATATTTCAAGATAAACACTTACTGGACTGAAGCAGCTAAACTTTACTTGACTTGATCTATAAAATCATGTTCAATTCCAATAAGTGAGTCTCAAATATGATCACCAGGCTGTTGAGGAGCATTTATTTGTTAATCTCTCGATCATTGTATTACATTGCATTGAATGTTATAAATATCATCTACTAATCTTACTGGAGACATAAATAGGACATAAAAAATCCTATTGACCCCAAACTTTCTAACAGTATTTGTATAGTATATAATTGTGAGAATTTAGCTTTTTTTGTACGCTTTATTATTGAAAAATCCTGAATTCTGTTCAGTAAACAGATCTGTGATATCAGTAACTCAACAACAGCCTGTATCCAGCATTTCTTAAACTGCACTTTTCTCCTGTTTTTGTTGATAAGAGCGTTTGAGAATCTCAGCAGAATCTTTATCGACAGGTTCTTGATCCAGTGTCCTCTTTCTGAGAGACAAACAGCGACTGTGAAGCCGCTAATGGCACGTAAAATCTGAGATAGCACATCCTGTTTTTCACCCGTCAATCTGACCTCTGGGTAATGTTTATCGGATGCATTTCAGTGGATCAGCCATCAGACGTAATCCAGACCGAGATCCAAACAAACACAGGACTCTAGTCTGATGAGCGCTGACATGGAACATGACCTTGTGGTTAATATTCACCTTTAATAGCTTCTGCACCATTGATCAGTCTTTATGAATGGGCCGTTTATCTTCATGTACAGGATGTATTTGTACGTGACATAAACCGATAAATGGTTCAGACCTGGACCTTATCATTATATACTGTAAATGTACTGCAATCCATTGATCAGAAAGCTGATTTCTCAGTATTACCTGAAAAACAACCTATAGATCCGCATTATGATCCCATATAAAGTACTTGAATAATTATACTTCATTATAATACTTTTTGGGTAATTTGTAGAGGAACAAAATATTTGTGCATTTACTTAATAATTTTTCTAAAGGGAAAATTATATTTAGACCTTAAAAGCATAAAATACTTGAAATAAAATACATTTCTAAAACGTTAAATCAATTTCAAATGAAAACAGAAAAATAAAAACTAACTCAAAATATTAGTCAAAAATATAGTAATATCTCAATGATACTAAAATAACACCGTTTCAGTCACCACAACATAAAATCATATATATCATTTTATTAGTATAATTAAATGTGGACACTTTTTAATTTTACTCAAGCACAACTTAGACATTGTGTCTTTATTTAAGTATAATTTCTCAGTACTTTACTGAACACACCAATTAAGAAAATGAAAAATACAAAATATTTTAAGTTGTAAATAAAACAAAGACTGATACAATTTACAAGAAAATACTTTTTCTACTTCTACTTTTAATTCAATGTGTTACTTGTCATTTCTTTGTAAATATTTGTGAAATTTACTAGCAATTTCTGAGTGAAAAATAGTTACTAAATCACACCAAATTGTTTTTAGTGTAAGAAGAAGAAAACTCCAGAGACATCTGAGACACTGAAAATGTGGCAAACTTTATTTGCTGTTTCATGCATGCACTAAAGGTCTTGAATTAATGAAATATCATATGTTGTCATTTCACACAGAGTCTTTCTCTGCACCGAACAGCCCTGCTGGATGAAATCAGAGCTCTATACTGACTCCCAAAGCCTGCGTCTCTCCCCTTCCATGTGTTTAGTGATCCCTAATGTGTGACTCAGCTAAAATTAGTTTTTAGAGAGCACTGGAGTCAAATTCAATCATAAGGCCATGTTGCATACAGTACATGAGTGCACTGCTTCTCTCCAGCTGCACTGGATTGTGTTACAAAGCTGCTGATGCATAAGAAATGTCCTATTTTGGTTTGGGAGTAAAGGAACTGTAATACTCACACTGAAGTTCACTAACTACTTCATCATATGACACTGTACTCTTCTGACAGTGCAAATATACATATACATCATTTGTATTGACACATTTTTCTGAATTCCTTTAAATTGACTGAAAATGTACTTATGTTCAGGTCATCCAAGATATAAATGAGTTTGTTTCTTCATCAGATTTGGAGAAATGTAGCATTGCATCAGTGTCTCACCAGTGGATCCTCTGCAGTGAATGGGTGCCGTCAGAATGAGAGTCCAAACAGCTGATAAACACATCACAATAATCCACAAGTAATCCACAGCACTCCAGTCCATCAGTTAACGTCTTGAGAAATGAAAAGCTATGTGTTTATAAGAAACAAATCCATCATTAAGACGTTCAAACCATTGCTTCTGGTCAAAATATAAGTCCATAATGATGCTTCCCAAAAAGTCCTCTTGTCTGAATCAGGAGAGACATCTGCACAGATCAAGCACCATTTACAAGAGAAAACAGCCCAAAACAGCTCTAAACAAATATGTGGCTGGACGTTTTCACTGAAGGAAGCATTATTACGGACTCGTATTTTAGTTCGGGTTGCTTAGTTAAAAATCCCCTTAATAATGGATTAGTTTCTTACAAACGTGCAGCTTTTGTCTTCTCAAGACATTAACTGCTGGACTGGAGTGGTGTGGATTACTTGTGGATTATTGTGATGTTTTTATCAGCTGTTTGGACTCTCATTCTGACGGCACCCATTCACTGCAGAGCATCCATTGCTGAGCAAGTGATGCAATGCTACATTTCTCCAAATCTGTTTTGACAAAAAAAACAAAAACTAATTAATCTACATCCGATATAGCCTGAGAGTGAGCACATTTTCATCAGACATTCATTGTTGGATGAACTATTCCTTTAATAATTCTGGTATATGAAAAGGTCTAAACACCAGTCCTCTCCGTATACCGGGCTTTTCCCTCGCTGCGTGCGAATCATGTCCTGTATTCAGGTTACAGATGGTCAATAGGTTGGTGTCCCCCTCTGCACAGATACCATATAAATCTCTCTGGAGTTAGTCTTGGCACGGACGCTTATCCTTCAGACTTGACGTAATATTGTGCCCTACAAAGTTCAGCGGCGCTGTTTATATTTGGGCCTAACATTAATTGCTGCTGTTAATCAAGAAAGTACCCCACACTGACCTGCTGGTATTTTTACCTCCAAATAGTAATATTTAGGCTTCAGGCTTCAGTGTTATTTAAAATATTTAACCGATTTAAAGACAATTTGATAAGTCACAGAAAAGTGTTAATTCTCATAATCACAATAAACATATAAATATACATATTAAAGCACAATAGTGAAGACGTCTCATGAAAGTCAGTGTAGTTATTGTTGTCATTTTATTTGATTTTGACATTTTATAGCCTATTATCATTTCGTATGCAACCACACAGACTTTTTTTTTGTTCACTTTTAAGTAAATTACCATAAGAAATTATAGCTGCACTAAAATGCACAGAAAAGTCAGGTACAATTGCACAAAATAAGTTTAAACTCATATAAGTTTTTCAGCAATGAAAAACAATTCAAAATGTGTTGTTTTACTATCATACAGTTATATTTCTATTCATATTTTGAGTTAGTTCTTATATTTTGCATGTTCATTTTAAATTTAAGTTAGCCTAAATATTTATTATTTTTTGTTTATAGTTTTTATTTATATTTATTTAAGTTTTAGTTTTATTATTTTAATACATATATTTAAACTAAATGAAAATATGACATGGTGCCTTGGAAACTAGCTGAAATAAAGTAAGTTTATATATCAAAATAAACTTAAGTTTAACTAAAATATATATATATATATATATTATTTCAAGTACAAAAAAAGTACCATTTTGGTTAACTAAGAACCCTGCCTTGGCTTGAGGCATGTTAACTAGCTTTAGGTAGGCCAATAACTTTTTTTTTAATAATTCTGTATTTTTTTGTTTTCAGTATACAACATGTTGCTGCAGGTCTGTGCCGGTTTCTCTGTGTTCTGAGGAGTTTCACTTGACAAAATGTGAAATTCTATGAGTCACTCATTTGGAAATTTCACAGCATGTCACATGTCTGTTCTAGTGCAGCCGCCCCGGAGTGTAGTGAAAGAGGCGGGTCTTATTTACATACGACCGCAATGGATTTCACCCCTGATTGGACGATTAGCCTCTGACGTCAAGAACGGCGTTCAAATGCGTAAAACGCGCTGACCAATCAGAGTGCGTCGCCCTTCACTCAGTGGGCGTGTCTAAGGACTTTTCTCGACGTGATCATGCGCTTTACCGGCATTTCAGCGTTTAACCGCCGGCAGGCGAGAGTGTTCTCCTGTTATTTATTTATTTATTGTCGAAGACTTTTATTATTTTCAAGATGCTGTGCCTGTGCCTTTATGTGCCTGTCCATAATTCAGACCAAGTCGAGGTGGAGTATTTTGAATCGAACGGATTACCGTCTGAGCTGAAATCGCTGAAGTCTCTCAGTGTGCTTCTACCTTCGCAGGAATTCTCTACATATCGAAAATGGAGGAAGGTAAGAAAATATACAGATATATATATCTTTCATTGTGTTGTAAAGTCGTTAAACCGAACAAACTAAAAAGTAGTTTACCACATTTTTCAAGCATGACGTTTCCGGTGGCCGTTCCTCTTTCCAGCTCGCGCGCTTCCGTTCAGTTGACCATATATGGAGTTGCCCACAACTAAACATAAAAGCGCGCATTTTTATTGCTGTCGACTAATTAAAGTGCGTCAGTAATGTGTACTATTGTTTAATCACATCAATACCATGCTACTGTAACTCGTACATTATACTTGTATGTCGCTGTCCTTGAACTGAAGGCTGTATGGCGCCCCTAGCGGTGCAGTTTCACTGAGACAATACATACTATTGAAATTGACACGTTTGAAAGTTTATCGATTATTATGACTGTCTGAGCTGCTGCAATCATCTGGATGAATGTCCAAATATGACTATAATCTCATAAACATGTATTTTAGTGAATGCATTCAGTAATTACAATGAAAGTCTTATGAGTCAATGATCCTATCAGTGTCAGTGGTTAATAATATTATTTGAACGTGGCTTTGTTATCTGATATATTATCTGAGCTGCACGGTTTCTCATGTAATAAGACGCTCTCATTCTGTCTGTTCTAGTTTGCCAGGTGTTGGCATTCACATATTCACTTTTACTGATTGTGCATTAATTTACAGCTGCAATGCATTGGATATTCTCTCACACATTTTCTTGCATCTTTCTTTTCTCCTCACAGAAAACCATGAAAACTGAAGAGAAGGAGCATGATGGACAGTTGGACTTTGAAGAGTTTGTTCACTACCTCCAAGACCACGAGAAAGACCTGAAGCTCGTCTTTAAAAGCCTGGATAGAAAGATTGCTGGTATTATACCTTAATGCAATGCTTTACTTGCGCATTTGCAACTTGGTGATTTTAAAATAGCTGACATTTGATTATTTGTTCCACATCAGGTCAAGTGAACGCCAATGACATTGTGAACTCACTGCGAGATCTTGGCGTCCATATTTCCCTCCAGCAAGCGGAGAGAGTCCTTCAAAGGTGAAATATTGTTTGAATAAAAAATTGACAATGCTGCAATGATGTTTTCTGGTGGGGCTTTGACTAATAATATTCACTGTGACATTTAAGTCTTAAAACTGCTGTCATTTATTCTAATTGTCACTGTTTGACTGACACACTCCATGAAAAGCCTTATCAGTTAATTACGTTTTATTGCTTTACTATAAAAACAGTCTTATTAATTTTAAAGTATTTTTATTATTGCGTTATTTATTTGAATTCTACTCATAATTTTGCTGGCATTTATTACATTACCAAACCTTTCGTTTATGACTGTATAAACACAGTGATCACTTTATCTCTGCATGGACTGAGTCACAGCTTTGTTGGAAGTTTTTATGATCTCCTAAATTTACTGTAAAGCACAGAACTAATTTACAGGCTCTAAATGATCCTCTTTCTGTCCTGTTTCCCATTTTCCTCACGCAGCATGGACAAAAACGGCACAATGACTATTGACTGCAACGAATGGAAGAAGTATCCCACATTACAGCCTGCCGAAAACATTCCCGAAATCATCCTGTACTGGAAACACTCGACTGTAAGCATTTTCTCTCACACAAACCCTGCACTCAGTCCAAAAGCGTATTTAGTAAAAGCTGCTTTATTCATGTCGACTGCAAAGTGGCATTACTATAATGATCTGATAAACATGTCTACTTGGAATGACTCGGATTCCTTAAAATGTGCATAAATTAGGCTGGTTTGGGTTTTAGGATGGGTTCAGAGCGTAGGCCTGGTATATGGTTGATGACAGTCTTAACATGACTGCCTAAAATATCTCCAGTCCCACTGGAACACCGTGATCTAGGACGGGGTCCAATTTAATAGGTATAGCCTTGCAGCTACTAAATCTTAACTAGTCTGTCTCCAGAGCTTCCTTCTATTAATACAGCCGCCAGAGTTTGTGCATAAATCCATCCATTAAAAATGCAAATCAAATGTCAGAGCACTCAAATTAAACCAGGATTAACTGTCCCTCCAGTGCAACACCTTATGCAACAATTCTTGTTGACACTCGCAATTAGATGATTTTGAGACTTTGTGCAGTTCAAGATCAATGATCTACTTTAGATTCTTATTGAACTCCGGTTTAAACCGGACTGCAGCTTTTGTTCTCACGAGGCAGAGTTCAGCGCGCAGCGAGACACACTTGGAAATCTGATGCAATGTGCACGAGTTTGTAAAGTTCACAATGGATTTTTTTTGGATGAAATGGCACAATGGTGCCCTAAAAAACACGCAGACTAGTTCCAGGTTTTTGGCAGCGTCACTGGTCGGGTCAGACGACTCTGACGCACACGCTTTTGCACTTTAGTTCTCTTGCAGTTGACGGCTGCACTTATGCGAAATACTACACGGCAAAAAAAAATAAAATCTGGTGTAGAAATTTAGACCCAGAAATTGCTAGTAAATTTCACAAATTATTACAAATGGCAAGTAACACTGAAGTAAAAGTGAAATTTTGAAGTAGAAAGACGGAAATAATTTAGTTTTTGGTCAAATGTACTGCAGTTTGTTTTATTTACAACCTACAACTTTTTTTAAATGTAGAAATATTTTTAACATTTTCACAAATTTTTAGTAGATTTCACAACTAATTACAATGACGTGGCAAATAACACATTGAATTAAATGTCAAATTAGACTGAAATAGTATTTTCTTGTAAAACACACTCCAATAATATTTGTATTTTGTACTTACTTTTCTACACTTTTAAAATGATTTTCGTTCAGAAATTGTTAGTTTCACAAATAATTACGAAGAAAAGGCAAGTAACATATATATATATATATATATA